CTAATGGTTTGTCAATTTTATTATCTTTTCAAAAAACAACTTTTTGATTTGTTGATCTTTTGTACTGTTTTTTGGGTTTCAATTTCATTAAGTTCTGCTCAGATCTTAATGATTTCTTTCCATCTGCTAACTTTGGGTTTGGGTTGTTCCTGTTTTTCTAGGCCTTTAAGGTGAAGTGTTAGGTTGTTCACTTGCCATCTTTCCATTCTTTTGAAGTAAGCATTTAATGCAATAAATTACCCCCGTTTTACTACTTTTGCAGTATTCCACAGGTTTTGGTATGATGTATCATTATTTTCATTAGTTTCAATAAATTTTTTGATTTCCTGTTTGATTGCTTTTTGGACCCATATGTCATTAAGTAGAATGCTGTTTAATTTTCATGTGTTTGTATAGTTTCCAGAATTTCGTTTGTTATTTCTAATTTTAATCCATTGTGGTCTGAGAAAATACATGGGATAATTCCAATTTTTTTGAATTTGTTGAGACTTCATTTGTGACCTGTGATCTGTCATGGAGAATGATCCACGTGCTGATGAGAAGAATGAATATTCTGAGGTTGTTAGATGGAATGTTCTGTAGATATCTGCTAAGTCCAACTTGTCTAAAATGTTGTTTAGATCTTGTGTTTCTCTGCTGATTCTTTGCCTAGATGATCTGTCCAATATTTAGAGTGGGGTGTTCAGGTCCCCTGCTATTATGGTACTAGTGTCTATTTCCGTCTTTAGGTCTAATAGAGTTTGTTTTATAAATCTGGCTGCTCCAACATTGGGTGCATTTATATTTATGATTGTTAAGTCTTCTTGATGGATCAATCCTTATATCATTGTGTAGTATCCCTCATTATCTCTTTTTATGGTTTTTAGTTTAAAGTCTATTTTATCAGATATAAGAATAGCTACTCCAGCTCGTTTTTTATTTCTTTTTGCATGGTAAATCTTTTTCCATCCTTTCACTCTTAGTCTGTGTGAGTCTTTATAGGTGAGGTGGGTATCTTGAAGGCATCATATAGTTGGGTCCTCCTTTTTAATCCAGTCAACCAGTCTGTGTCTTTTGATTGGGGAATTTAAGCCTTTTACATTAAGAGTTGTTATTGAAAGTATTGATTTGATCCTAGCATTTTATTGATTATTGTTTGGATGTCTTAGGTGTCTTTTGTTCCTTTCTTTCTGATTTACTGTTTGTTTTCTGTATTTGTTGGTTTCCTGGGTTTTAGATAGCCGTTTTGTTTGTTTGTTTTCTCTTCATGACTGCCATTTTTATTATATTAGTGGGTTTTGATTTTTCTTGGGTTTTTATGGCAGTGGTAGTTATTGTTCAGGTATCAAACCCAGTACTCCCTTGAGAATTTTTTGTAAGGGTGGTTGTGTGGTAGTGAACTCCCACAGTTTTTGTTTGTCTGAGAAATATACTATTTGCCCTTCATTTCAGAAGGATAGCCTTGCGGTGTAGGTTATTCTTGGCTGGCAATCTCTGTCTCTCAGTATTTTGAATATATCATCTCATTCCTTTCTGGCTTTTAGGGTTTGTGATGAAAAGTCTGATGTTAGTCTGATTGGGGCTCCCTTATAGGTGATTTGATGCTTCTGTCTTGCAGCTTTTAAGATTTTCTCTTTGTCTTTGAGTTTTGCCAATTTGACTATAACATTTCTTGGAGGAGTCCTTTTTGGATCGAATATAGTTGGGGATCTTTGAGCTTCCTGAATCTGAAGATCTGTGTCTTTTCCTATACATGGGAATTTTTCTGCCACTATTTTGTTGAATATGTTTTCAGTGCAATCTCCTTTTTCCTCCCCTTCTGGAATACCCATGAGTTGGATATGTGAGTGCTTAAGGTTGTCTGATATCTCTTTCAGATTTTCTTCAATGCCTTTAATTCTTTTTTCTTTTTCTTTCTTTCTTTCTTTCTTTCTTTCTTTCTTTCTTTCTTTCTTTCTTTTTTTTTTTTTTGTCTTCCTGTGTTATTTCAAACAGCCCATCTTCAAGGTCAGAAGTTCTCTCTTCTACTTCTGCAATCCTGTTAGTTAAACTCTCTGTTGTGTTCTTTATTTCATTGAATGAACTCTTCAGCTCAGCAAGCTCTGCTACATTCTTTTTCAGGGCATTGATTTCCTTGTACATTTCTTCTTTCAGGTCCTGTATACTTTTCCTCATTTCATCACGTTGTCTAGCTGAGTTTTCTTGTATCTCATTCAGTTTCCTTCGAGTTATCACTTGAAATTCCTTGTCAAACATTTCAAGGGCTTCTTGTTCTATAGGATCTTGAGCTTGAGAGTTATTACCCTTTGGGGGTGTACTTTCTTGATTTTTCATATTTCTTGTATCTTTCCTTTGATGTTGAGTCATTGTGGTAGGGGGTTTCACAGTTCACAGTTTTGACCCTATTGTCTGGCTAGGATGCTGCTGGAGCTGCCAATTTGGTATAGCTACCTCATTGTCTGCTCAGTTGGCCACTAGGGCCTTGAGTGTGTAGTTGCCTCAGATCTTGGGCCTCTCCTGGGAGCCGCCTCTCTGGTCAGCATGCACTCGGCTGGGCTTCTGGGTCACACGGCAGCACCACAGGGTGTGTGGTCTCTGCCAAGCTTCCACCTCCTCTGCTGGATGTCTTCCTGCTCCTTGTGCACTGGGCCAGGCTGCTGGGTCATTCGGTGGCACCACAAGGTGTGTGGTCTCTGCAGAGCTTCTGCCTCCCCTGCTGGACGTCTCCCTGCTCTGTGCGCAGTGGGCTGGGCTAGGGATGGAGATGGGTGGCAGCGGTGAGGCCTACCTGCTGGATCACATGGTGGCGGCATCGCAGGGCATGTGGTCTCTGTGGAGCTTCCACCTCCCCTGCTGGACTTCTCCCTGCTCTGTGTGCACTGGGCTGGTCTGGGGATGGAGATGGGTGGCAGCGGTGAGGACTACCTGCTAGATCGCATGGCAGCGGCACTGCAGGGTGTGTCGTCTCTGCAACTTTAATCTTTCAAAGTCTCAGTTTCTTCATTTTAGGCAAAGTGCCAGCTGGCTCTGGAGAGATTGAGCAGCAGCCTTATCTTTAATTTTTTGATGAACCTTCATACTGTTTTCCATAGTGGCCGTACCACTTTGCATTCCCAACAATGTGCAAGGGTTCCTTTTTCTCTCCATCCTCGCCAACACTTGTTAATCTCTTGTCCTTTTGATAATAGCCATCCTAACAGGTGAGAGGTGATATCTCATTATGATTTTAATTTGCATTCTCCTGATCATTAGTGATACTGAGAACCTCTTCACATACCTGCAGTCTGCCATCTAATTTTGTCTGTCACCTAATCAAAATCACTATCTGTGAAAATATTTCAAAGATGCACTTCAGTCCGGGAGTTGAACAGCCTCAATTTTAACAATTCTTTCAATATTGATATTATTGTTTACAGTTGTGCTTCACTGTGTTTTATAACATGCAAGTATTTAATGTCTTCAACCTGAATGCATACTTCATGTCGCTCATGAAACCTTTTAAATAAAGTGACCACCATATCTTTGAACAAAGCATGCTATTTTGCTTACTCAGTAATTCATGGAAAATAATAACAATTCCTTCAGGGGCTGAATCAAACACACTTAAACCACAACAATTTGATAATCCAAACTAGGATGTTTTGTAACTCCCATTTCGTTTTTGTTCTTCCCATATTAAGTTAGTTTAAAGTTAGTTAGGTCCTCCTAGATTTCAGCAGCCTGGAGGCAACTATCCAGGTCCCTAAGCTAAAATTTGTTTACCTCAGAATAAGGGTCATAGACCCAGGTGAGTCAACTTTCTGGAGGTTTTGATTCTCTATTCTGATGCTATCATCTGTTGTCTTGGGTAACTAAGAGGTGATTAAATGACCCATGTAAAGAGAAACATTTAACAAGAGGCTGGTTGCCCACTTATTTTCAGACATCTGGGAAGGATTTGGATCAAATTGGTGGTCCCCAAATGATGGTTCAAGAACAAATGCTGGGCTGGCTATATCAGAATCATATGGGGAGCTTTTAAAAAATACAAATTTCAGGCCCTACCCCAAACATATTGAATCAGAATCTCTGGAGTAAACACCCAGAAAGCTTTATTTTTTTTAACTTCCTCAGATGAATCTGACTCAGTGAAGTTTGTGAAAAGTAGTCTAGATTAGAGCTTCTCAAATGCTAATATGCAGAAGAATCACCTGGGGCAATTGTTGAAATGCAGATTTTGATTCAGCAGGTCCATGTTGGGACCTGAGATTCTTCTGAATTTTTTACAAACCCCCGAGTGATATTGGTTCATGGATTTTGAGTAAAGGGGCTAGATTAGTGTACTTCTCTGGTTCCTTCTAGCTATACTTTCCTGTGATTATAAAATGCCTTGTGGAAACCTCACTCACATTAAAACTACCCATTCAAACTCATATACTTTTCTACACATAGGCTTTTTCTTTTTTCAAAAGTGTGCCAGACAATAACTGATTTATATTTTTTCACTTACAGCTCTGCCTTTGTTTCCCACTTGTTAGCTTTCAACACACAGCTGAAATAGTCCCAGAAAGCTGATCTGTTCAAGTTAATCATCCCTGAAGAAGTGGCGGACCCACTGTGCACTAAAGCAAACCTTTCTTCTATGTGAGCCAAAAAGAGAAAAACAGCCTGCCAAACACCTATAAAGAGATGGCTATCATCATATGGGAATTTGAGGAGCTGCTGTATGGTATATTGATGATCCAAACGGTAGAGAATCAACTGTCATGATGTTCCAGAAGGCTTTATAATAAACAAGAAGGGAAAATTATAACGTCTTGCCAGTTGTGGTTGCACACTAAACTGCCATGTTACTGTAGACAAATCCACAAACCCAAAGCAAACATGCAGATAGTTCTTTGAAAACTCCTTGAATCATATGGAAAGGCTCAGAAAGATGCAGTAAAAAGAAGATTATTTTATAGTCAGTATCTCCAACCACTGATGACTTATCATTTAGAAGGAGCAGCAGTTGATTGTGAATTTAGGTTTTGAACCATCATTAAGCAAACATGTTTTCTCTAGAAAGAATCATGCCTGCTAATGACACGTGTACTGCACTAGATGCAGACAACACAGATTTTCGGTACTTTATCTATGCAGTGACATACACTGTCATTCTTGTGCCAGGTCTCATAGGGAACATATTAGCCTTGTGGGTATTTTATGGTTATATGAAAGAAACCAAAAGAGCTGTGATATTTATGATAAACTTAGCCATTGCTGATTTACTTCAAGTTCTTTCCCTGCCACTGAGGATCTTTTACTATTTGAATCATGACTGGCCATTTGGTCCTGGCCTCTGCATGTTCTGTTTCTACTTGAAGTATGTAAACATGTATGCAAGCATCTATTTCTTGGTCTGCATCAGTGTGCGACGATTTTGGTTTCTCATGTACCCCTTTCGCTTCCATGACTACAAACAGAAATATGACTTGTACATCAGCATTGCTGGCTGGCTGATCATCTGCCTTGCCTGTCTACTCTTCCCTCTCCTCAGAACCAGTGACGACACCCCAAGCAACAGAACCAAATGCTTTGTGGATCTTCCTACCAGGAATGTCAATCTGGTCCAGTCAGTTGCCATGATGACCATTGGCGAGTTGATTGGGTTTGTTACTCCTCTTCTGGTTGTCCTATACTGTACCTGGAAGACAGTTTTATCACTGCAAGATAAATATCCTGTAGCCCAAGATCTTGGAGAGAAAAAGAAAGCCTTGAAGATGATTCTAACCTGTGCAGGGGTATTCCTGATTTGCTTTGCACCTTATCACTTCAGTTTTCCTTTAGATTTCTTGGTCAAGTCCAATGAAATTAAAAGCTGCCTAGCCAGAAGGGTAATTCTAATATTTCATTCTGTGGCCCTGTGTCTTGCTAGTCTGAATTCCTGCCTTGACCCAGTCATATACTATTTCACCACTAATGAGTTCAGAAGACGGCTTTCAAGACAAGATTTCCAGGATAGCATCCAACTCCATACAAAGTCCTTTGTGAGCAGCCATACAACTTCTACCATGGCAACTGAATTATGCTAAATAATTTTTTAAAAAGTTAATGTGGCCTGAAATGCAAGTACAACAGAACACATTTGCAATACCCCAAGCCACAGGGAAGTACTCACAAGAAGCACCCACAGCTTTTCAGTTATACTTTATCTCATACTTTATCTTACCTATATGGGGATTTCACATCTTCATAATATGACCTGCTTGGAGCATTATGCTCCACCATCACTGATGCTGACATGTCCATGTAGTAATTTCTTATCAAGTCTTTAAGACAAACTATGAAATTTCAGTGACATCATAAACATATGTGATCTCAACTAGAGTCATCAATTTTATCTGTGAACCTAAAGCATAGAGCGATTATTAGATTGGGGCCACCATAAGCACTCAGTTTTGTTACAACAAACACTGAGTCTTTGTATTCTGAGGAAATGTAGTTGTCTACTTATATTAGTAATCACAGTTTACATTCCAATATCGTATGCTTGTTTGTATGTTGAGTAGGATGGACAATATATTACTCTGTGTAAACAAAATGTTATAAACACTGAGTCATTTTTATCTCCCATGTGTGATTATACCCCAGGGTTTGAAGACTCAAATAGCTATTTTCTTCGTTTCAGTGTCACATCTATTCATAAAATGGATATCTGAACTTAGGCCTCTGTATGTTAAACTAAGAACAATACACAAATTCATATACAATAATCCTCTGTGATAATATAAGATGCCATATTAAATCTACCCAGGGAAGATAGTTCACAAAATTTATACAAGGTAAACCAAATGGCCTCTAGGCCCAGGAGAAAGCTGATAGGTGACAATCACAGTTCTGGTTCTCTTAAACTATTTCCAAAGAACACCTCTAGAGATGTATGGACCTGCTTAATACAGGGAGTTTCCACCATGTTTCTAGGGTAACATTGAGTTAACTCTGATAGGTTACTGCACTTTCTGAGCCTGTGGAAGAAGTAGTGCACTAATTAACCACTAAGCTTAGGCCAGAGTGAAAAGATGAAGCAAAGTTGGGCATACCTCTTAAATCCTCACCACATTGTATTTCTTACTCAAAGCTAAATGGCGACTGTCAAGCCGCCTAAACAAGCTAGAGTAGGGTTTGGAGGTAGTTAGTCAAGTGGACTCTATAGATTGCATTGATTTTTCTGATCCAGCTTTGCTCCAGCCATACCATTCTGAAGCCTGCACAGCCTACCTCTCAGCAGCTGGGGAAGGCAATTCTTTCGCCTTTTGAGGAAAGTGCAGATGATTAACTTTGACAGCCTTGGGTACTCCTTACAATGACTTGCCTGCTACCTATTTGGTACTATTATGCAGGAAACATACCTATAGTATGAATAGTAATTAAACCTGATGTTGTAAGTATTAGAATACTTTGAAACATGTTTCAGCAAAAGCTCTAATTTTTTAAAAATACTCTACTTAAAATCTGTGTGCTATGTAATGAAGACACATTCTACTTCTCATTTGGAAGGAATGTAGAACCCAGCAAAGGCTTTATCATATTTAGAAGAAAGGGGTTGTTTTAGGCATACAGTTATGATACTCATACATTTGGGGAAAAAATGGTGAAATCAAAATGTATTCTAATATCTAAGATTAATGAAAAGTTTTCTAAAGTCTTCTCTGGACAATTGTTGATTTTGCTTGTACTTTGTGTTTAAAATAATACCATATTAGAAAACTGGTTTTGTGCTGCTAGCAATAGTGTACCTATGTGTCTCCTAATTATTCATTGTAAGGTACGTCTTTTAATGTGTTAAATGTGTTTTAAGTAAGTGTTAAATTGTGTTTTTAAAAAGGGTAACAATAACTGTTTCTGCTCTGTTTGCTTTAAAGTGATTTGTATTCAACTATAACTTAGTTTTGTAATGGGATCACAAGTAATGATTTTGTGGATTTGTGAACCAACTGTGGGTATTTGTAATGGGAGAGTCTTGCCTATACTATCTGTGCTTACTATTTTCTAGATTAGCACAAATCACACTTATTAGGGTAACTTTGGGAAACCATTGGTTTAATTTTATTAACATATTGATTTTTCTTTAAACATATATCTTTTTTTAAAGGGGAGGGGAAATATTTCCAAGAGATTATTGACGTTCTTAAAGGAATGGTTGGGGACCATTTATTAGGCAGCCTATTTATACCATCAGAGAGAGCACTAGTGTCCAGTGTTCTTATGCTGCTTAGCTAAGGCCGCTCCTTCTCCTCAGGACTGCCCATCTAGGTTTGTATCTAGTGCTCTGATTTACTTTATCCACTTCTCACTCCATGAAAATGTTTTGTCTTCTGCCCTATTCTCTTTTTCTTCTAGGCAGTATTCTGATCAACTCATTCACACTAATGTGCTAATGACTAATGTTAGCTTAGTATTAATTTACCCAGGGATGTCTGAATTCCAAACTTTAGGATTTGGCAGTAACCCAAAGTAGTGACTTTCAATGGAGGGATTCTAGACACTGAAGCAGACAGACTGGAGGGGAAGATATTTTGAATAATGAAAGCTCTTACAGCAGTGCCTTTCTGATTACATATAATAAATGATCACCTGCTTTGCTTACATAATGGGGATGCCAGATTCTAAGAAATATTTCCATAAACACAACAATCAATTTCTCAGATCCCTGCTTGTTTTCTTTTTCTTTTAGCCTCTTTCCTTTCCATCTCTGGACTGATTTCCAGGGGAAAGTCTAAGCTAGGGGAGAAGTACTGCTGCCACTATTATTCAGAAAGCAGCCCCTTTGCTGAGCCTCTCCTTTCCTTTCCTTGGAGAATCTTCTCTCCAGACCTCTTATGTATTACTCACTGGATTCCCTAAAATTGGGGTGCAAAGAGTGAACACCCTCAACTATGGTAACATAAAATTTAAGATTAATAATCTAACATTTCCTACATAAAGTTGTTTAAATTTTGATTCCAAAATACAATTCCAACAAGAGAAATTTTGAATATGGGGTGCTTTCCATGTTGTTATTATTCATTATTATTATTCCTATTATTATATTCAAATAGTTTATATGTTTTTATTATCATTCATTCAAGCAGCTAACTCTTTTAACTGGTAATTCCATGAAGAGGAGCCATCTGCCCCAGGAACAATAGTGCAAGCTGCCTGAGTCTGAAAGGGTGTGTCAGTGAAATTCTTGAAAAACATAATTTTTATGTCATCTTTTGTTTTCACTCCCAAGATACTGTGAAAATGTTGCATTTGGAGTTTGTTTACAGTTGTAATTTATAATATGCATTTTAATAATAAAGACTGTCTTTTTAATTACATAGAAATTTTCTGCCTCCAGAAGTCAAAGTGTATTTAGTCACTTTTAGCAAACTGATAGACTTGAAGACATTTGTTAGCATTTTTCACACACATGGATAGAAGTCCCCCGAGGCTCTACTCTCCCTTTCTCCCCCTTGGAGGGGCGCATTCTATTCTCAAAGGGTAAGATGAGCCACTCTCCCCACCCTACTTCACTCCTGCCCCCAAACTCCTCTGATAGATATACTTTTTACTAACCACACCCTACTAAGTTTATTCCCCACCCTCACTGTGGACCAAGTTTATTTGAACTACTTAAAGCCCTGTATTTGTGATGAGAGGGCAGACGGAATGTTTTCTTCTTAGTATTAAAGGTTGTTAAGACCTGGCAGTCTGGTTTTTCTTGTGTATTGGCAGGCAAAAAAAAATCTTCCACTCTCCACTTTTGCCCTTCTCAAAACAGAAAACAAACAAAATTGTGAAGTCAGGAAAATTGTCCCTGTCCCTTCCCTCATCCTAGTTTTCTTTCTTCCACTTTAGCAACTCACTCCACCTCCGACCTATATCCTTAGTGTTTTCAGGAGGCCCAGGTATCTTTGGTAGTAGTCAAGTTATTAGAAATTACATAGTTTGGCTGCTGCAGAAAAATGTTCCTAGGAAGTGGTAAAGGATTTCCTATGGAGAAATTTCTGGCACTTTTGTAGACCTGAAGAAAATCATGGGATATAAATAGGAGTCCTGTTCTATGCTTCTAATGCCCTCAAATCATGTACAGACCTCTTCTGTGCCCTCTTAAAGCTAGCCCAGAAGTAACTTCACTTCCTTCACTATTATATTTTTTAAGAGTGGTAGGGATGGAGGGAAGGGGGTGAGAGAACTCTCAAGTAAATGTAGCTGTTTTAACTTACTCAGTTATTAAAGGATGTGGTGTGGAGAGGTGGGGTGGGAGAGTTGTAACTTTTTTGAACTTCACAGACCATTTCCTCAGCAGAATGTATTCAGTCTTAACCGCTATTTGATTTTGCCAAGACCATATGTCTTCTATTGATTTTCTTGATTAAATTCTCCTCATCCTACTCCTTACTCCACATCTGATTCATCTACAAACATAACCCTTATTCAAGGCCTTACATTTTCCTCCTTGTATCTCCTCAAAAAATAATAAAGCAACTACTCTATGGAGAGGGCTGTCATTAGGGCTGTTTTTCTGACCCCAGTGTCTTCTTTTTATCAGGATCTCTTCAAATTTGAGTCTGGCCTGTAATGGTGAGATTTTTCAGACTTTTCTAAACAATATTTAATATCCACAACTTCTAATAAGACTGATAGCACTCATACCTTTTAAAATCCTAATCTAATAAGAGGGCATAAATTAATAAATCAGTTTGAAGAAAAGATGGTCCAAGTTACGGGCTTAGAGAATGCAAGCATAAACGAAGTGACCCTACTATAAACTCCCCACACCATCTTTGCATGAAGTAAAACATGTAATACTGGATTAAAAATGGTCTGAAATCCCGTTCCTGCCCTATGTCACTAAACAAGTTTAACTTTTTTACTAAGACGCATATAAAAAAAAATGTGTGTGTGTGTGTGTGTGTGTATTTAAATATTCCTTGGTCCAGATTTATTATGGCTCTCATGAAGAGCCCAGCACATTCAGTTCTACTGAATAAAAATACCAGTGCTGACAGACTGAGTTTCTACATTTTAGTCAAAATGATTCACTAAACATTATTTATAGAGTACTACTAGAATGTATATATGAAAATGTACACTGCATTTTATCTGAAACCTGTGCCATAGTTACATGAACTCTGTGGCTACTACTCATAATTAGGTGGCTAGATTTCTCCAAAGTTTCCTTCAAATATTTCACATTTTTTTCCTTTGAATCTATCCTGACAAGTATAGATCCATTAAGCTATGAGTTATGCTGTGGTTAATAGATATGTGGCTTAGACTACATAAAAATGTATTT